CAGGTCAGAGAGATTATACAGAAAATATGGATAATAGATACTGGCTTCAAAGCTCATATCTGATAGATTTTGCCAAAGAATTGTTTGAGTGATAGGCTGTTCACAGGCTTAACTTTCTTTAGACTTACTCAGCTTCTGATACAAAGTCACAACTAGTGATAATTAAACTCACTAAAGTAGTAAAAATCCACAAAATAGCTTGCTTATCATTATTTTATAACAATGTAATTGATATTTAGTGAACTTTACACCAAGTGAGGAACAAAGTCTGTCCAGTAGTGAGGATCATTATGACTTGTTTGTTCACCACTGTTCCACAGCAAAGTGCCAACGATGTATACTTATTGGTTCATGATGAAAAGATGTAAGTGGTTGTCCCTTGACAACCACTTACATCTTTTCATCATGAAACAAAATAAGTATAACCTGACTCAACCAAATCCCTAACACCACAATCAACAGATGTTCTTTGTAAGTAAGTCAGAAAAGTCAGTAATTCTAAGATGATTGGCCCACAAAGTTGAAGAGAAAAAGGAGAATAGGCAGAATTCTATGCCATTATATATTTCTTAGCATTCAATGGCACCACCCCCAAAGAAAATTTTCAGGTGATCAGTTTTTGCTGTAGGATACCCACAGAGTAGAGTGAAATTATTTTGAAGAGAGGAAATGGACCTGACAGACTAAAGGTGCTATTTGCTGAACTAGTGGAGATCTTACTTTCTAAAAACTAACAATTCCACAAGATGCTTCCTACTTGGGTGGTAATAATATGTCATAATACCATCTGTAGCTACAGTCAACATATATGCAGTTGCATGTGTGTGTGTTTATTTGTATTGGTATATATGAATGAACACAAACACCTGTGTGTATTTAGGTAAATACATCATTTATATAATACATCCAAGTCTGGCACAAGGACATAAATGTTTAGTAATTGTTTGTATGTGAAGATTGGCATGTAAAATATGAGGAAGCCCTGAAAAAGTTCTTGGTTCAATGCACTTCCCAAAATCAATTATGAAATATTAGAATAGTGATTTTGAGAATTATGTCAAAGAATGAAATTTTCAGGCATCTCATATATGTTCATTAAATGACAAATGCTTGTATTTATAAAAATGAGATTATACATGCAGATTGATAAACACTTACAATAGTACAATCATATATATCTTGCTTGGTATGTGACTATTGCACAAATGCATGTATAGATATCATCAGCATACACACACACATATATATATATATATATATATATATATATATATATATATATATACACACACACACACACACACAATTTTTCTTTTCATACAAATGCCAATACTTCAACTTTCAGCCATCTTTCAAACTACCCATAATCCTTTCCATTTCTTCCCACCCCTTCCTTAAGATACTCCTACTCCCAATAATTCTGGAATTGAAACCATTCATAAACTAACAAAATGTTAACCCAATCCACAGCTACAAATCCATTCCCTGAGGACACTATCTCCAATTCCACCCAAGACAAAAATGTACAATTTCAGAATACCTAGATATCACCCAATTCTACAGAGCCTCATCTAAAAATCTCCCTGTCAAAAAAAGAAAAAAAAGAAAAGAAAAGAGGAAGACAAGTATTTATTTTATTTTCTTCTTTTTCAGACCTACTTTCAATTACCCTTTATCTTAGGATCTTTAAAAAAGAATTCTTCTCCATATATTCCAGAACAAGCATTCAACACACACACAGAGACAGACACACACACATACACACACTCTGGCTAGCTAAAGTAAAAGTAACAAACATTTCTTTCAAACAGAACATAGAATTAAAATAAAGGATATATTTTGATAGGTCAAAGTGCTCCAAATATGAGGGGTGGAGGCTAGGGTGACCTGGTCCTATTAACCAGGATCCTGGTTGAAAGGGTTGGGTTCAGAAAGGTAAGAATAAATAGGAAAATTAAATTTTACTCAAGAAAGAAAGAGAGAAAAAAAATAAAGGAATGGATTTTTTCTGTTTGAACTCCTTTCCACACCAATTTGAAGAATAAACAAAATCACAGAAATGAAAGCTTTCACTTGATGTTGAGATTGGGTGAAAGGAAAATAAAAAAAAAACCTTGCCCCTATGCCTTGCTTCTATCACTCCCCAGCCTTTTATCCTTCAACTCTGAACCTCCCATCAGTCTCTGCTATAGAATTATCTACTGAGTAGTATTTCAATGAGAAACAATTGACAAGTGTCGGTGATACCTGTTTTCATTAGGGAGATGAGGGTGTCTGCCAGGTTTGGCAGTGCCAGCCAAATTCCTCACCTTATCCTAGCTTCCATCTCTTCCTTGTCCCATACTTTAGCTCTGTCCATCCTGCCCACACACCTTTTCTCTAAATAAGCAACAGCTGTTGGAGGTGTGATAGCTAAGTTCTTGATGATACAGTCTGGCCAGTTGTGATTGATAACTGACTAAACTAATACTATTAACTAGCAATAGGAAATAAGAAACTGAAGTTTATTTTTCTAGGGACTTTAAATGAAAGCATCTGGCACAAGGTCCTTTTGACAGAATACTCAATAAGAGTAGAACTTATAATTAGCTTACAAATAATTGACTTAGGTACTCTACATAAAAAAAAAAATTCCATAACTAAGAGCATTGGTAATAGATAAAGATAATATCATTTGTAGCCAGTTTATTCTTGTACAAGAACCACCATCCTCCTTTACCCTAGTGCCTCTGTGGAATATAAAGCCACAGCCTCATCAAGCTAGGGTTTTTTTTTATTGTCAGCTCACACAATATATGACTCAATAGCCACTCAAGGTAGATGGTTCCTGAGTGAAATTGTTATAAGGAAGGGGGGGGGTAAGAGAATTATGGGAATGAATAGGATAGATATCAGTTGTTGTTTTCAAGGAAGCATATTCTTAGAAATTTGTTCTACAAAGTAACAGTTTTGGGGGAAAAAGCTGTTTGAGTGGACCATAAAGGGAAGGGAATAGGTATGATGAACATGACATGGTGGGTCTAAGTTATGAGGGTCTGTGCTGGTGGAATTGAGGAATGTAACTCATCTGAACATCTGCCATATTAATAGTGATACATTAGTGAAAGGCTGGTAAGAGAAGGGTTGTGCAGTAGAGAGTAATTCATCACCTACAAGACAGCATAAGAATTGTGGAACTCTTTTGAGGCTGGACAGTGAGAACTGCACAGTACCAGCCACCAGTTATGATAGCAATTCTCCATTCTTGGTCTGATCTGATTCTTGTAAACTTAGAAGTTAGGTATTTTTTGTATTGATACAATGAACTGAATATTTTTCCAGCATCTTTTGCTATGACATAAATATGCACATACCATTTGAGGTTAGTAGTGAGTTTTGGACCCAGTAGCCTTTTTGACGTTATGACCACTCATCAGAATTGGTGACGGTTTAAGGTCTGCTCAGTGTTGATGAAACGTTACAAGTTTAGTTTTGGATGTATTGACTGATATCAACGTTTTCCTCATCGACTGTTGATAATTTAGGTCAGAAGAGAAATCAGCTGCCAAGTGGTGTCATCATGATATCTGGAGATACACCCATAAATTTGTGGTATCACCTGCATATATATTTACTAATGATCTGAGAGATTGTTGGTAGCAAGCAGAAAATGAATAGAACTGAGGAGAGAGTCTTGAGGGATGCCAGCCAGCACTGATTTCATGTACAACAGAGGACTGGCTATTAGAGGCTTTCATGAAGGTTGTTGTTGAAAAAAAAAACGCTGTTTTTGTTAATTTTCAAAAACTTCTTTAAAAGAAATATTCCATACTTTTTTTCTCAATTGTTAGTTTTAAGTCATAAATTTTGCAATATATATAGGTTGGAGAAAAGCAACAAAATTGGTGGTGTTTAAATACTGGCTTATTCTATGCTTGTTGAATATCTGCTATTGGGCTTCAGTTTTATTGAAAAGTATAAATGGAGAGTTTTTCCATTTAAAAAAAAACATTAATATATACATAAGTATAAAGGTAACTTATGATAATGACATTGATGTGCTTGGAAATTTTAAAGCATCAGTAACATGAAAGGAGTTGCAATATAATTAATGCATCTATAGATAGGAAGAGTTTTTATAACAAGAGATATTTACTAAACTCTCTCTTGCTCACTAGAAGGTGATATTAGCACACTAAGTAAAAAGCAAATTCACTAACAATAGTCTGTGAATTGAAATTGCTTACCATAGAGCTTTGAGACAGAAAGCCAACATGTCTTTGAAGAAATGTCATATTTACTGTATTTATGTATTGGTGACTGCAAACAAGAATGTAACAAATACAAATACATGTTTATATTCATCAAAAGAGGACTCCATGATTTTATTGGTATAAATAATTTGGATGCACACAAATCAGAAGGAAGACATTCTGTCTGTTATTTCCTATTTTTACATAAGTTTTGGGTATCATGGCTGCCTTCTGCTTGATAATCATTAACCATTCAAATATTTTTGTCCAGTTATGTCAGATTTTTTTTTGCTTTTGGCATAAATATCTCTCTGTTCCTAGATTTAAAAAAACATTCCAACATAAAGATTCAAGTTCAAAAATAGATCAGAAAGTAGTTTTATCTTGGCTACTCTGCCTTTTATTCATAACAACATAAAGACAATAATTAGTAATGCTGAATATGTAAGATTAAGAGAAACACAAGCATTGAATAAATGTAAGTAGGCAGGGCTGCTCAAAATTAAGTCCTTCATTTGATTTTTACAGTTTATCAACCTTTTTAAGGTTACTTAAAGCTTTTTGTATTGTAAAAATATTCAGGGGATAATATTTTTCTGATACAATCCTTACTATTTAGCCCATAGATGGGAAGAGAAGAGGTGGATTCATACCTTTTCGAAGGGTATTTGCACATAAGGGATTATAATGAACCTGACTGAAATTCAAAATTGGTTCTCTGAGTTCTCATTCTAAGCCATTATCCATTACACCACGCATATGTCTGAGCTTACAGCCCCTGTTATTCCTGAGTGGTCACCCATCAAGGTACTGACATTGCTTAACTTTGGTGATCAGATGAGAACCAGTGTTTCAATGTGTATGATCATAAGCAAAATTTAGTCAGTCTTCAAAGTAAGGAATATTTGAATATTTGATGTCTTCATTAAGAGTTCAATTTTTACAAGACTGACATTTTGTTCCTCTTATGCTGATGCTGTTCAGTGGAAAAATCCTTTTCATTATTCTTTCACCTTGACTTATGAGCCAAATATATTTGTCAAGATTCAACTGTGAAATTAAGATACCAAATAGCAAGAGAGATGCAAATAAATACATAGTGGTATAAGGTTAAATTTCATTTCTCATGATTCTTTTGAAAGGAAAATTTACCTTGCTTAAATGACAGAAATAGAAACAAAATAAATGCTATGTCATTTTCAAATTGCAATCGTTATCATTTTGTTTTGTCAGCTGTTACATTTTACTTTTACATTCTTTTTATTTACAAAGAATTGTTAATTAACTCCATATCTCCAACAAAATCAAAATAAAACATTGAGTGAATTTATTGCCATCCTGACCAGCTTCACCATTAGCCAGAATCTGTTGTTACAGTGTTACATTGTAACACACATGAAAGACAAAAGCAAAAGTATCCAAATATTATAGTATGTCTAATATATTATGAATAGGAAAGCATATACAAAGGCTTTTATGATCAGAATGATCTGTAGTGATCTTTGTGAATACAAATCTGAGGTACCAATCAGTATTATATGTATGGCTATATATATATATATATATATATGTATATACACACACACACACACACACACATGGAGAGATAATATGTTTATAAATGAGTGAAAGAAAATTCTCAAGCAATCTATCATTTTATTCTGACAAAACAAGAGTCATATATAAGGAAGGTCTGTTAGAAGATGTGTTTCTGACCTTTTGATTCCCATTCTCGGATGAACTAGCTTTGAAATTTTGCAATTTCAAAAAATAAACATTTTGAAGGTAAAAAAAAAAAAAATGAAAAAAAAAAAAACAGATTCAAGTGTTTATGCATTTTTCCTCTCAATCTTAGTTAATCAGCCAAACAATCCAGAAAAAAATAAATAAAAATAATTTCAAAAATCAGGAAAAAAATGTAAATGCTTAGAAGGACAACTATTTTAACAAATTAAGGTAAATGATTTCATGGTTCAATTTGCATGGAATTATGTAAGTGTTTAAATAATTTGTTCCCTCCAGTGATTCTGATTCAGAATAAAAAATTTGTAACCTGAATATCAGAAATAAATTGATGCAGCGAAAAAGATATAAATTATCAACATAAATTGATTCTATCTTTTACTTCCACAAACTTCATCAATCCTCTTGCAAGTTGTTGCCATAGGAATTTGGGAAAAAGAGTGGAGTGATTTGAAATGTTTAAAAGGAGTGAACTTGGAAGAAAATGTCATACATTATTGATTTCACAGAACAGTATCAAAACTTGTGCCATTCCAATGTCTTTGATGCTTTCAACAAAACTTTTTTAAAAATATGTAAAATTAAGCTTAGTATTTGAAACATTAAAGACTAACAACTCTAATTAGCTGAATTATACCCCAACAATTAAATTTTGATTTAAATTATTCTTTTTGACTCTTATAAGTACAATAAGACATGATAAATGACAAAATACATTAGAATACTATATTTTAAAAAATCAGTTGTTACATAAGATAGTAAACTTATCATTAGGATTCATAATAAAATTAGACTGGAAATAGGACAATAACAGAGTAGCTTTGTTCAAGACAGAACAAGAAATATGATTTGTATGGTCAAAATACTATAAGCAAAACAAATGCAGAAGGGCCTGTACCTATGTTTCATAGATTACACAAAACTATTTGATAAGGTCTGACACAAAGACCTACTTGAAAAGCTTGATTTACATGGGAAAGATATCCAAGTAAAATGTAACTGATCTACATACAGACAGAGAATGAGCTCAGTAAAAACAAAAAGAGAAATAAGATAAGAATGAATTTTTCTCATCAGATTTATGTAAAAATACAGTGAGACAATCCTAAAAGAAGTAAAAAAAAAACAAAACTACTAAGATTTATTAACAGCAGACACCATTTTAACAACATAAAATATACAAATGACACTGTGTTGATAGCAAACTCAGGAAATTGAAAGAACTCTCAAACAAGACAATCAGAGAAAGCAAGAAGAAAGGACTACATATCAATTGTAAAAAAAAAAAAAATGGAATGTATGGTTATTAGTAAAAGAGACAGCCCAAGATATGAGTTTCAAGCAGGTGCAGAAATTTAACAATCAAGATAATGTATGGAATGATGGAAAATGTGACACAGAAATTCAAATATGCATAGAAATAGTGAAGAAGGAGTTTTAGAAAGTAAGCAAAGTATGGAGATGGGAAATGTACATTAGAAAAAAGTAAAGAATAAAGAATTGCTTTGTAATCTCTAATCTTCTGTATAGCATTGAAAAAGAAACTTGAAGTAACAGAGCTGTGGTTTTACCAACAAATGTTAAAGAATATCAATGACTGAATAATGAGGAAGTCTTAAAAAAAATAATAAGGCCAAGGAAATTTATGCTTACTGTCAGAAGGAAATAGATGAAATCTCTGGAAAACAAAATTAGGAAAGAAGACCTAGATAATTCAACACTCACAGGACATAGTGATGGCAAGAGAAACTGGAGCCAACAGCAATAACCTACTTAACAAATCTGCATGAATGGATGGCAAAGAAGGGACAACGAGCAATGGTAAAGGACAAAATTTACTTAGAGTAACAAAAGATAGGAAGTTGTGAAGAGTCATGATCACATGTTCTGAGGGGGCATGGCTCATAAGGAGAGGAATAACAATAAATCACCCTAATTTGAACATTTAATTTTGTTATAAGAGAAAAATAACTCTTTTTTTTTTCTGACATATTCCTATACTGCTTCAGCTGAAAGCAACTTCTTTTTTCCCTTGATGATGTGGGTGATTATAACTCTCCACAACTTCCTATCTTTTGAAGCTCTAAGTAAGGTTTATTTCTTTACTAACTCTTTCAGTTTGTGTTCTGCCATCTATTTACACAAAGGTAAGTTACTCAGTGTTTCCTCTCTGCCCCTTTTTGCTTTGTCCTGTGAGTGTCAAAATCTCCAAGCCCTTTTCTTCAGTATGTGTCTCAGAAATTTCAACCCCTATTTTTTTTTTATTCTAAGTACAAGTGTCCTTTTTGTTTTCATTTTCTTTAAAATTTCCTCATTACTCACATGCTCCATCCATGATATTCTCAGCATCTTTCTATAGAACCACATCCTTGTTGCCTCAATTCTCCTCTTCATCTCTGATGAGATTATCTAGCATTCACTGCCATATAGGAGAATTTATATTATGTAGCAACTCTTTTGTTTGTTTCTATTAAAATTTTCATGTTTCTTTATATTTTATTTATCTTTTGGTAGGCAACACAAAATATGATACAAACTACAAAAGTTGACGCTACACTTTTTGTTCAGACTTAGATTCATGATGAAACAGCAACTAAACCATGAAAATGAAGCTGTTAATTCAAATAAAAAGGGATGAATATCATACCAAGCTATATTATTCTAGGATATTAACATTAGATGGGAAACAACACTTAAATGAAACTCAATTACATTTATTTATTTTTTTAAAATCAAATATCAATAGATATATTTTTTTACAACTCTGATCCATTACACTTTAAAATTATTTGATGAATAAGATAATGTTCTATTGTTACAAGTTATTATAATATATAAACAAGTATGAAAATAAGGATAAAAGCAAATTCAAACTTATTTATTACACTGTATTTTATATGACAGAGAAATGTTCACAATACACATGACACAAGCTATCTCATCTGCTGTTTCTCCATTCAGTTTTAGAAAAAAAATGTGTCAAATTTGGAATGAATCTTTTATGTCCTCTCTATAACACTATGTTACAGAGATAAAAAGAAGGGAAGAGATCAAGCTAGTGCAATTGAGCAGATCATTAAACCTTGAGCTAAAATTTAGAAAGACCAGTTGATCAAAGGGTGAGGAGTCTTGATCTCACTGATGCATTTCATCTGATTTGGTTTTATTGATCCAGTTATCTGTATAGGATTAAAAAAAAAAGCAAAAACAAACAATATATATATATAGGTAAGTTACTCAGTTTCCTCTCTACCCCTTTTTGCTTTCTATATATATATATATATATATATATATATATTTCTGCTTGACATATTATTTCTACTTACTACTTTATATAGTTTTATTTTTACAAAGCAATTATAAAAAGAAATTGCCAATGTATTTCTAGAAGATAACATTTTTAATGCAACAAGCATTATAAGAGTCAATATTAAAAAAATTAAAAAGTTCATAAATAGTAAACAACTAAAATATTAAACTTATCTTTAATTTTGTTTTGCCATTCTTATCATTCATATATATATATATATATATATATAATAAGAAAGGCAAAACAAAATTAAATGTTCAACTTACTTATATATATATATACAAAAATAAGAATAAAAAGAAAAGTTATAAATAGCTAAAGACCAAACAAATAAGATATAATAAAGAAGTTAAAAGGGGAGGAAGAGAAAGAAAAGTAAGTCGTGAGATGAGCCAATATAATAAATTGTTTTTATTTTATTAATGTGTGTGTGTGTGTGTATATATATATATATATATATATATATATATATATATATATTTTATTGGTTTGCTTTCTTCTCTTCTTCCAAAAAATACCCTGTCTTGGCCGCATGTAGGAAGATCAGTACAACCAAGCATACACGATCTATGACATCGAAAAGCCAAAGTGAAGTCTTGATTAGTTGCCGTTTTCTGGGGGAACTTATATAATGCACATCCTAAAGCTAGTATCAAATTTTATTGTGGGTGCAGGCCAAATACTGATCATATTTGGTTGGGTTGGCCATCGAAGAAGTCTGTTGTTTATTTAGACCCGAAACATTTAGTGACATGGGAGCAACAACACTGATGACACACCTAGATTTGGTACTTAAAGGTGTATTTTTAACAAT